AGGTAAAGGTGGAATAAGGTAAAGTTCAGTGGTGTTCATGTACCAATTATCTTTTAAGCATTAATAACAGTAATATATCACAATTTAGAAGTTTCTAATCCAGTGTGTCTGTGTATACATGAGTGGAGTGCGAAGTGGCTAAAATGTAGCAAGTTGGCACAGCGGGCAGCACAGGTGGTGCATCTGTCAGTCATCCCAGTTAACTCAAAACACCTGTGTCTGTCCCGTGACCTTCTGTCAGCGAGCCTTCCACACTTCATGTGGCCTCAAAGTGCACCTAGCCTGGAACACGCTGTGATGACGTCACCGCCACTTAGGTGCGAATGTCAGCTGTTGTTGTTGGGAAGTGATAGTTTAGTGGTCAGCACCCTGCGCTACGAATCCGGTGACCTGAGTTTTATTCACCTTCATAGCCAACATCAGTGATGAGTATCTGAACCAGTCCCGGTGCTCCCCTAGGGCAACTCAGCCTTAAATGAGTACCTGATGCAGTGTAAACATCAGCACTGGGAAGACAAAGGTGGCCCGGCGTGGTAGTGACCATCCACCCCCTCGTGTGCTGTGCCACCTTAATAGGTGCTCGTTAAAAGCACTTTCCGCAAAAGTCTGTTAAAATCGATATGGGGATCTTTGTCTATTTCTCATATAGATGGCTCCACTGTACATTTGTGTCGTGTGTGTAGAAGTAAGTGTACGGTATATATATACAAATAATGTTCCATCCTTTGTAAATCCACTGCTGGAAGAACACCTTCCAACGCTGTGTCGATAGTTAACCACCCTCGCCAGTGCGGATTGGTGAAGGCTGGTGGTGTGCCCAACGCAAGGTTCGTATGTCACTCGCCACTGATGTTAGCCGTGGCTGGGAATCAAACTCAGGTCGCCCGTGGCACTCACCACATTTTTATACGTAGCCTGTTTAGCAAAGCAAGAAGTTAGTTTGAGGTCATTGGAGATCAGTTGTATCTGCGGCTTTTACTTCCTCAGTGACACGGTGATCCGTTAGCTGTCAAACCAGGCACAGGTGTGACGGGACTGTGCGTCATCTCGGTGTTTCCTTTGTGTCTGACAACCAACCATTCCAACGGTGGATTCTTGGCATGAATGAACTAGATGTGAAATAAATCCCAGATTGTTCAGCTCTTTACACCTGGGGCAGATATAATTCTGCTCTCGTTTTGTTTCTTTTTTTTATATCCCCACACATTTACCAGTCAACAGCAACTGTCACGGTTGAATTGCAATTGATTGTACATTCTGTGCAAACAGCTCGTTGAGGCAAGCGTATGGTCGAGAAATTATTTAAAACTGACAGCAAGTATCCAAGGTACATATTAAAAGGTGACATCGATGTCTGTCCGCTCAAACGGGCAATGGGTGATGCTCAAGTTGAATGTTTCCGCTTGCAATAATATGAATACAGGAGAACTCCTCTTATACGTTACCTTATTACTCGCAAATCCTATTATCTGTGAGAGCTGTATGGTCCGCAAGAACAACCGCTGTCAGCAACTCTGTGCTTCCAATGATCTGAAATTACCCGCCATGTTCCCCAATAGTTCATTGTGAAATAGCTTCCAATTATCCGTGATCCCCCTCCATCCCACGGATAACCTGCAGATAATAGAATTTGTTATATTGGGCCCACCACATAACCACGGTGAGAGGAGTAAATAGGGCACTCAGCCTTTGTTAAAGATTACATGACAATTCCAAAAAAGTAACATTGCATTGGGGAACGTATCAAATGTCATTTGCTACTGTGTAGAATCACAAGTGTGTAAATGTTTCCTCGTTATTTTTCTATACAAAGCAAGGACAACTTGCGCGGTGCATTCTGTGAGCAGAAGGCTTTCTGCTTGAGTAGTTTACTATATTTATGCTCACACTCGCACAATGGGGACATTCTTATGAATATCTACGTATGAAGTTACAGATGACAAAAAACATATCCTAGACAGCACGAGATATGAGTACCATACAAGTCATAATCTTCCTTCCTCTGCTCATTCCACCGCTGGATGAAGGCCTCCCAACGTGAGGGTGGTCTGACCATATTTGACCACACTGGTTAGTGTGGGCTGCCGAAGGGGTTTTTCCAGGATCAGTTGAGATAACACTCGGCCCTGCTGTTAGCCATGGGTCACGAGGTTCAGAGCGCAGCCTGATAACCACTGCACCACCACTCCACCCCAGCACTATTTAGGGTACAATAATGAAAATGCACTATGAACCCTGCAACCTAAGGTCAGTTCCCAGTCATGGCTTATATCAGTAGTGAGTGACATCCGCACCAGTTCCGAGGCCCTCCCTGGTGAAGTATGATGAAACAAGCTCCCCCAACTGCCCGTTGGGAGGCTTTCGTCTATCAGTGCAATGAAAAAAGAGGGCTGTAAAACATTACTGGCATTCAAAATGCATTTACGAATCATTACATTGCTTTTCTTGTAAATGGATACATAGTGACTGGCGCTCGGAATAAGCCAACTAAGCAAAGGCTTGGGGCCCCAAGTAGTAAAAGGGGCCCCTGAATTCATTAAACTAAACGGTTTAAGGAACGAAACAGGAGGATATCTCCACGAATCTGGCTGTGGCCTGATGAAGCTGGTTGTAATTACTGGTGAAACGTCGTACTCAGATTGTAAATGTTGTGGATTTGCTATCCAACATACCTGTGTGCTGTACTAGTAGCGAATTGCCATGTTCTATTGACGTGGCAAACCTTACAAATTGGCCGTGTCGGGTGGTGGCGGGTTTAATGACACATTTATATATTTACGAGATCTAACCAAAAAAATGACATTATGGATGATATTGGTCGCGAAAACCTACGTGTTAAACTAAATGGCTAACAAGTAAATCATAATTAACATAACACAGTAATTATTATAACCGCCAATTCATATCTCATCTCTACCTTGTCCGCTTCTCTCTTCACTCACCCAACTCCCCCTCTATTTGTGTCTACATTTCTCACATTATCACTACTGCACATCCATATCTCGCGTCTGCATCTCTCATTTCACTGCATTTGAGTCCCATCTGCGTCTCCCTTCTCACATGCCACTACACCTCTATCTGTGTCTACAGTTCGCTTATCTCACCACATCTACGTCTGTCGTCCGTCTCATCCCATGTCGTCTCACCTCGGAATTTAGCAATTGAAAGGGTGGCAACCCCCAAAAAAAGAGAATTCCTCCTTGGGGTGCCCCAAGCGATGGGCTAGCACCACCACTGCGAAGGGCATAACCAGAGAGCTTCTGCGATCGGCACATACGCTGATGCCAAACCACACGCCAGCATGACTTCCCTCAATAATAATAATATTCTTAGGTTTTTTCGGTAAAGTCACGTAGGTAAAAAATTAAAATTAATAAAAGTAAAATAAAAATAAAATAAAAATCACGACGTTTCGGAGGCAACACAAGCTTCCGTCTTTAGGTGGAACAGTCACAGCACGATAGCTGTATCAAGTGAATCATAATTAACACAACACAGCTATCGTGCTGTGACTGTTCCACCTGAAGACGGAAGCTTGTGCTGCCTCCGAAACGTCGTGATTTTTATTTTATTTTTTATTTTACTTTTATTAATTTTAATTTTTTTACCTACGTGACTTTACCGAAAAAACCTAAGAATATGAATCCTTGCAGTCACGAAAGCTTCAAATCTAGAAATAATAATAATGATGTTTTCTGAAGTATCAATAAAACGCGGCGTCCATCTCCCAAACAGACGATCGCGAATGCTCTCCTCGTAACGAGCTTGCGATTAATGTCCCAAGTTGAACATTCCTGCCCACACAGCGCATCATTCCACACTTCCCTCCCCAATCCTTCCCGCCCGCTGAGCTCTGAGTGGCTTTTATGCCGGTCATTATGTTTCCCCGTGCCCAGACAGGGGTCCTTGAGCAGAGCTGCACAAAGGCGTTCCATTAGATGATTGATTTAATGATCACGTTTCTCCACGCTGCTTTGTGCGTGTGCGAAAAGCCCACCGTGAAAGTGGGGATGGGCTGAATTGTCGTGGGGATTGAACACATTTTTTTTGTTACCTCTTTGGATTTCCGTAAATGCATTGGAAGGTGATGATTTAAATATTATAATAATTAAAGATTGGTCTTGCAATGGGAGTTTATTGATACTCAAACTGTTTTTATTCACAATACAGTATAATTATTTGACCAGAATGATTGCTGTGCAAATGCTGCACACGTGTGTAAGGTAACGCTTCACCTGGCAGAAACTCGAGGAATTATCAGGATTTGGGGTAACAAGTTCGTTCAGCAATGGGAATTATTTTTGTTTTTGTTTATTTGTAGTCTCATGCGTCTTGTTTAGATTGTTTTCTCTTTAGTCTCGTTTGCACAGTTTTGTCAACTCCACTAGACTATGTGTAACATCATGCTTTGCATATGGCGTTAATCATGCCCATACGTGCACAGTTAAATCCTTGCATTTTGAGTTCGAAAAATGTATTATAATCGATGAATCGTCAGATCGTCAAATGCCTTGTGTGAACAGTGCAATTGTTGTGATAATTTACAGCCACACACCAATCTACTGCTGGTCGAAGGTCTCCCACCTGTCTCGTTGGTCGTGAGGGTACGGCTTGTTCCACGTGCTGGTCAGCACAATGTCCGACGTGTGTGCTGAAAAATGCCGGGCGCTTCCGCAGCAACTGAATTCGGTAACCGAAGCGCCTCCTAAGGACGTGGATGAAGACGTCGAACATTGCGCCAAAAAGCTTGCGGTATCACCCGAAAACACATCGGAGAGCTTTCTATCCAGCGCATCTAGCATACTTGACCATGCTGGTTGATGCTCGATGGTCAATAGGTGTGTGGGGGGGGGTGACACGGTTATCCAGGACATAACAGCACTGTAATGTGCATCGCAACAATTGCGTGCGAGAACGTTTGCCAGTTACGGACAAAGTTCTTGAACACGGAGCGCGATGTTCATCACCAGACGTGCGTCACTGTGCGGTTGTCTCTGCAGGTGCGTGGAGAGCAGGGCAGGAGCGCCGTGTTCCTGCCAGAGTTCTCCCTGAGCCGTAAGGAGCCCCTGGTGGATGAGAGTGTCGGGGAACCGCTCCTCACCTACAGGAACGAGGGGGAGCAGGTAAGGACGCAGCAGGTACACCGCGGCGTGGATTTACGGCACGTATAAACCGCGACCGCATCTCAAGACGCTGTCCAGAAGGAGTGGGCATGTTTTGTGCATAGTGGCAGCGCTGGATTAAGTTTGATGAGGGCTTGGGGATGTTGTAGATTTGGACGGGTGGGGGGGGTTCCTTTTTGTACATTCGGTTCTTTCCAGCACCGCCCATACCTAATGCCAATCACTCCGTTCTTACTCGCCTTAGTTTTTTACAGTAATAGTTTTAAAATGTGATTGTAAAGCTAATTCAAAGTAAAAATAAACGCAAAGAAAACATATTTTTTATTTTGGCACCATATTTATATTGCCGCCAATATGCCATGGCTTAAATGACTAAATTCTATTTTGGCTGTATAATAGTGCTTCGTTATTGTGTTTCAATAATTACAAAACAGGATATGTACATATATATACAATTTGAGGTTCTCTAAATATCCAAGGCCCTGGGCCGTGGTCCCTGAAGCCCCTTGCGTTAATTTAGCCCTTGGAGAGAGTGGGTCATAGGTAGAGGATGCAAGGAAGGCGTTCAGCTTGGGCTTGAACAGGGGGCAGACCTGTGGGACAGGAGAGAAGCATAAGTGACCTCTTCATGGGTGGGGGGGGGGGGAGGCTTCGCCGGAAAGTGGATGGGAGTCGAGTGATATGAGGAGAGAGAGTTAGGCAGGGAGTGAATGCAACGGGGGATCTTGAAGACGATGGGTGTGACCTTGAGGTTGATCTGGGATTGGAATGGGGGGCCCGCAGAGCGATCGGAGTGGGTGTCCGCGGCCGGTCTCTGGTCCACGCACGCAGTCCAAATGAATTCCTGCCTATGTCCATTCATGTCAGCTCTGCTATATAATCGGACGTGTAGGCTCGGGCTATTTTGTTCACAGCGCTGTGTTGTTCCACTTTGTGCAGTCGCAATGCAGGACTTGGAACCCCTTCTGCTCTCTCTTGTGCGCCGAGACACAGCCCCCTCTATTTATAGGGGAGCTGTGCATTCTCTAGGAAAACTGCCCCAAGGAAAATGTTGAATACGCTACTCTTAATCATGGTGACTTGCTCGCCTAATGTCCCTGTACACGGATTTTTTTTAAGTGCCTAAATGTTAACGTTTACAAGTTTAGCTTCAAAGGTACTCACCGCCGTACTTGTAATTCCGATTTATCTGTTTACTAGAACGCTGAGAATTTATTTTTTCATACCGACGCATCATTATGTTCAACTAGAAGTTTCCACCGCTCAACTTCGACTAAACGTGTACGGAGCCGGCGTGCTTGTTTGTGCATCACACAGCCTCGAATTTTGCAGTTTCTTGGCAGCTCTTGGAAAAATCACTGGGCGGTGACAGCCTGTGTTTTTCTCTCCCTGTTGATGTTGGCTGTGCGATTCAAGGCCTCTGTGTGCTCATCTAGACATGTAAATGAAGCCTTCTCATGGTTAATTAGAAATCTGTCTCATCCAGAGGTTCCGTAGAGTTGTTACATTCTACACTTTGGCTTTGTTATGGGCTTGTGGTAACCGCAACTCTGAAAGTGACATATTTTTCTATTAGGATGAACAGTACGGCGTGCAACAAACGCAATGAAATATATCCGATTGCAAATGTGATATATCGTATTATTTATAGCTGTTTATCATCATTATCAGCTATGGTCAAACCACTGTTAGATGAAGGCCTCTCCAAGCTGCAACCACCTGCTATGATCCTGAGATGTCATTATTGAACCTGTTAAATATGGAAAATAATAATAGTCATCATCATAATATCGAATTGCACTGTCTGCCTTTCAATTCAATAACATATCAATAACATATCAATGGAATGTGGCCATGTGGCTGAGGGGTCAGGGCACTGAGCTGCCGCTGCTGAGTTCGTTGGTTTGAATCCAGGCAATTACCCATGATTAAAACGAGTTCACACATCTAACAAGTTGACAGTCTCAGCCTGGCCGACCAACGATCGTCCAAAAACAACCCATCATACTTTGCTTGGTGTTTAACCTAATTTGGCAAATTCTAGCTATGAGAAAAAAATTGGTGTTATATTGACACGCAAAGAACACACACTCTTCAGAACGCGTAAAATATGTGCCCCGAGCGTGGGTGGGACCGCGTGCAGGACGAGGGAGGGGAGAGTCAGTTACAGAGACAGGGATTGGCATAGTCACCGTGAGAGCGGCGACCGAGGGGAAGACCTAAGACCAGACGTTGGAATACTGCGAGGGAAGATTTTGTAAGGGCGCGCGGTGACCGTGCGGCTGCTGCGGGATTTGGCAGAGGGTGGGAGAGCGTTGGCCATGAGGGACGGTGGCATCAACGGCCTTGCCCACGGTGACCTTTTGACGTTGAGCTCGTGCGGTTAAATGAAGTCTTCAGAGGTATAGTAGTAGGTTTTTACCCTTTTAAACTGGTACATGATGCCTTGAATAAAGGTGTCAGTTTTGTACCAGTTTAAAAGGGTAAAAACCTACTACTATATTTTGCCACTGGTAAAACAGATCTTAAGAGGTAGTTCTGCGACGTTCATTTCCCATGGCTGTCCTCCCGTAACGGAGAGGTGCCCTGCTAGCTTTAAGAGTTCCAAATGGATTTTTATTCTGCTCGTTCTGTAATGTCAGCAGCACAATTGTAATATATACATGTGAAAAATAACAAATCAATGTTATTCATACAACTATATTGGTTTGTTTCTGTTATCAATCTATATTTTATTTTTACAAAAGCATAATGCTTGACAGATTTGGGTTCTTTAACAGTATACGCTTAAAATGGAGCGGGAGCCAAAGAAAACTGGCACTTAGAAATTTTGGCTGACTACCAAATAGTATAAAATACATTATATAACAACTTGCAGCCATTTAGCAATCCACTGCTGCATTAAGGGCTCTGCATGCCTTTCAGTTATGGACCACATAGTAAACCATTGTAAAGTCGTCAGGGTGGTGAGGCATTATCTTTTTCACTTCGTACGCAGGAGGTCGTGGGTTCGATCCCGATCCTGACACCTGTATATTTGAGTTTGCATGGTCTCCCCGTGGTGGTGTGGATTTTTATCCTGGGTCCTCCGGTTTTTCATTCCACATTTAGAAACATGCGCTGAGAGTATTTGGCTGCAATACATTTCCACGTGATAAGCCACTTGTTTGAACATTGCACCATACCGCTCCCTTCGCACATGATGTTTCCAATCAATGATGTGTTTCATATACAGTGCTACTTAGTTCATGACAATAATAGTGCATTCAGAACGCTGCGTGACTAGAAAACAAGCCATATTTTACAAACAAATAAACTATTTTACAAATATAAAATAACCACCTTTATTTTGTGCTAACAAAACAAGAAAAGAACAGGGAAAATGCATAATCTGCATCCAGAAACTCGTACGCAGCAGAATATGAACTGTTCAGCTTCTACGTCAAAGGTGGCAAAATGATGACAGCCCCATGAGCAGTGCTGCGTTTGGGCCTCTCTGAGCTGCAGGTCTCGTGGTGTCACGCAAAGCCGATTGCTGAAAGGCATTTGTACTGACGAATGATTGACACAGCTTTGATTGAGTTGGAAATCCGCTGAGAAATTTGGATACGTGAATTACGATGGGCACATTTTTTTTTACACATTTTGAAAAGGCAGCTGGCTCCCCATGCATCGTTTCGGCAGACGTTGACAGTTTTACCTTAGCAGAATGATCTGTTTACTTCGTTGTGCACAACAGTATGCATTGCTGTGTATTTGTCTATCTTGCTGACGCATGTGCCAAAGATGAAAAAAACTGGTTTTTCCCGTGTTCTTTAATGCTTTTACACTACACGTCAAACATTATGTTGACAGTTTCCAAACTGGCGGGGGTGCGGGGGGTTAACTGATCTACAAGGCAGCAATTTTGAATGTGTAAATACACACACAGTGTATTAATGCGTCAATAAGACGCGCTTCGTTTAATGGGAACACAAATTAGGACGTGCCGAGAAAATCCGCAGTGTTCTTTGCAATGCTGACCATCTGTGGCGAAAGAGCTTCATAGCTCATCAGATTTCCCCGGGAAAAATCAAGATTCTGATTCTGAAGTCGCTCGTTCGGTTGTCCAAACCAGTTCTAAAAAGGGTCTATGCTCTCGTCCAAAGTGGGCCACTTATTTGTGATCTGTTTTTCTTGGCCGTAATGAGCCGCGTGTGTGTGCATGTGCATGTGCGGCCTTGGAATGTGAAGAAAGAGAGGATACATTTTTGTCTGGGCGTGCCGCAGTTTATTTTTATTGTTGGGCTCCTAAGGTTGTATAAATGATAGGATGGTGACTTGATTAGATAAGGGCCACATGTCACGCACTACAAAAATACCAGTGGGGATGCTGAGTGACGCTGTTTTTCGCGTAAAAATAAGTCTGCCTTTGGAAGCAGTTTGCACACACTGTTTATACATTGCTCTCAGCTCGCATGCTGGTCGTAATTTGCTGTACTGTTGGATTTCGTTTTTTTTAATTCATTACTTTCAGAGTTTTGCCCAAGCTAAAAACAGTCTTCGAAGATCAGAGACGCTGAGCAGATGTTTAATCTATTGCGCAAATCCATTCCGAACATGCGAAGTTATCGTGTAACGTCGAATTATTTTTCGCTTCACATAAAAACATGGCGTGCGCATGCAGCTTTCATTTTCAGCCGAGTGTGACGCATGTTTAAGCAGTACTTTCTGTGGTATCCTTTACAAGCTCAAAGCTGAACAACCTACAGAGGCTTTAGAATCTGATTCAGACACGCGGGCTGACCCCCTCCACCTTCTCGCGTCGCTGACCCCTCGAGCTTGGGTGAAAAAATTTCAGACCTTTCCACAAAGAGATTCAATCGCACGAATTAAACAATGGCCTTCATGCAACCTGCACTTCTGGCCGGGTCGCGTGAAAAGAAACACCTTAAGTGGAATGTTCCCTTGGCTTGTTGCTTAAAGCTGTGTCGCTGAACGGTGTTTTATGCGACCTGTCA